TAACCCTAACCCTAACCCTAACCCTAACCCTAACCCTAACCCTAACCCTAACCCTAACCCTAACCCTAACCCTAACCCTAACCCTAACCCTAACCCTAACCCTAACCCTAACCCTAACCCTAACCCTAACCCTAACCCTAACCCTAACCCTAACCCTAACCCTAACCCTAACCCTAACCCTAACCCTAACCCTAACCCTAACCCTAACCCTAACCCTAACCCTAACCCTAACCCTAACCCTAACCCTAACCCTAACCCTAACCCTAACCCTAACCCTAACCCTAACCCTAACCCTAACCCTAACCCTAACCCTAACCCTAACCCTAACCCTAACCCTAACCCTAACCCTAACCCTAACCCTAACCCTAACCCTAACCCTAACCCTAACCCTAACCCTAACCCTAACCCTAACCCTAACCCTAACCCTAACCCTAACCCTAACCCTAACCCTAACCCTAACCCTAACCCTAACCCTAACCCTAACCCTAACCCTAACCCTAACCCTAACCCTAACCCTAACCCTAACCCTAACCCTAACCCTAACCCTAACCCTAACCCTAACCCTAACCCTAACCCTAACCCTAACCCTAACCCTAACCCTAACCCTAACCCTAACCCTAACCCTAACCCTAACCCTAACCCTAACCCTAACCCTAACCCTAACCCTAACCCTAACCCTAACCCTAACCCTAACCCTAACCCTAACCCTAACCCTAACCCTAAACCCTAACCCTAACCCTAACCCTAACCCTAACCCTAACCCTAAACCTAACCCTAACCGTAAACCTAAACCTAAACCTAACCCTAAACCTAAACCTAAACCTAACCCTAAACCTAAACCTAAACCTAAGCGTAAGCCTAAATTCTAACCCTAACCTCTAACCCCTAACTTCTAATCCCTTACCCTTTGAGCCCGCCAGGCCGGTAAACCGGCTTCAACATTAGGCATATAATTCCGAAAAGCCGGTTTTCCGGCCCGACGATCTAGCGTCATATTCCTAGTGCCCGGAATTAAGTATAATTAGAATGACTAAAACTGCGCATATGTCTTTTTAGTGCGGGATTATGATTCTGAAAATAAATTTTAGGAAAAGTGAAAGTGTTTACATTTCTTAGCAATGCCGCCGAATCGAAAAGCTGAGACACAGCCTTGACTTCAACACATAAAGTTCGTGCAAAAGATGAAACAAAAGACCGAAATATCAACAAAAGAAGTAGAATTAGTAGAATGACTGCATCTCAGGCAATACAACTACTTACTGATTCTGATGAAGATGATACTATTCCTAGTCTATATTGTGATGATAGTGACATTGAATTTGAGACTGAACACTGAACACAGTGACATTGAAATTGACAGTGACAATGAAACTTTTTAAGTTCGTTCTGATGCACGTGGTGCCAAGGACAAAGACTTGCCGAAACGGAAAAAAAACTGTTTACTTGTGCAAAACATGCGAAGTTTTTCTTTGCATCGGGTCCGGCAGTGATAACTGTTTTGAGTTATCACACAAAAGTGGACTTCTGGCGATGAACTAGTGTGGCCAGGTATCAATAATAACAAAACAATTACTACCTAAATGTAAATTGGTTTCTTCTATGTTCTATCAAAACAATAATTATGTGCTCGTTTTATTTACATTGTTCTGTTCATACATTGTAAAAAAAATAAAGAATTTCAGAATTTTGCTGAGTTGTTGTTTGATCTTGAGTCTGGATACCAAATTTGGCTTGATTATCTCAAACGGTTCAAAAGTTATAGGCAAAGTTAGAAGCAGATAAGTGAAAATTGGTTTGGCCCTGGGAGCTCAGGAAATGGGAGAAATTAGGCCAGGGAGGCCCGGGCTCAAAGGGCTAACCTCTAATCCCTAACCTCTAACTCTAACTTCTAATCCCTAAGCTTTAATAGCAACCTCTAAACCTAAATCCTAACATTAACCATTAGTAAAACAAAATGTCTTATTTTATTTTATTCTGGCAAGCATTGACAATTTTTAAAAAATCAGATACAAGAATCTTTACATTTACAACAAAAATTCAAAATCGCATTAGTATTCTATGTAGGGAGCTTAGGGCTAGTCTAGGGCTAAACATTCTGTACCACAAAAAAGAAACTTTCCATGTTTGGCCTTCCCTTCCACAACAATTTTGTTTTCAAATAAGTTTTGCTTTGAAAATACCCCACACATTTTGTTTTGTATAATTGTTTTAGAATCATAATTGACTTGATACTTTTTATTTGTTGAATTATTTTGTTTCTCTCCCTTAATTTTGGAGATGCTTCCAACATAACTCTTATCTTTTACAATAAGATTTCAAAATATCGTTTATTTATTTAACCCTACTGTGTGTATCCCCTCAATAAATCATGGCTTCTATCTGATCCTCAACTACGCATCGTGTGCGCGCGCATGCCCAGTGCTCACCATCCCTGTCGTTACACAGATGACACATCAATAAAACGATGGCAGACTACCGGTCACAGCTGCAGGTAAATCAAGGTGTGCTGTAATCTGTCGTCTCTACGGGTTCCCAGGATTCTGGAAGCTACAAATACCCGACATTTTTAAAGACATCAAATAACAAGACAAAGGAATATTTGAAATTTGATTTTGGTAAGTTAAAGCTTAACTTTCCATTCTTGTAACTCAGTTGTCCTTATTTCGTGAGTTTGCAATTTGAAAAATGTATACTCATAATATCAAGCTAATGCAAATTATTTCCGTAACAGAAAATTGTCGAAATATCTTTAGTTTTTGCGTTCCAGTCGTATACCTACGTCTATCAAACTGCAGCAATTGTACATAAAGAACCAAAACATCGCTCCAAACCGTTAGCGAAAACTAAAACATTACATGTGACTGGCTTACAATCCAACAAGCATAAGCATTCATTCATCAAACCCTAACCCTAACCCTAACATAAGCATTCATTCATCTAACCCTAACCCTAACCCTAACATAAGCATATATTCATCAAACCTTAACCCTAAAATAAGCATTCATTCATCAAACCCTTACCCTAACCCTAACATAAGCATTCATTCATCACACCCTAATCCTAACATAAGCATTCATTCATCAAACCCTAACCCTAACATAAGCATTCATTCATCAAACCCTAACCCTAAAATAAGCATTCATTCATCAAACCCTTACCCTAACCCTAACATAAGCATTCATTCATCAAACTGAACTTGTATTTGCTAAATGTATTTTAAACACAGTTTTACTGGTTAGTTCATTAACACAGTCATGATTAACACGAAAATAAGTATTAAGATCCTCAAATATGACTAACCCTAACCCTAACCCTAAGATCCTCAAATATGACTAACCCTAACCCTAACCCTAACCCTAAGATCCTCAAATATGGCTAACCCTAACCCTAAGATCCTCAAATATGACTAACCCTAACCCTAACCCTAAGATTCTCAAATATGGCTAACCCTAACCCTAACCCTAAGATCCTCAAATATGACTAACCCTAACCCTAACCCCTAAGATCCTCAAATATGGCTAACCCTAACCCTAACCCTAAGATCCTCAAATATGACTAACCCTAACCCTAACCCTAAGATCCTCAAATATGACTAACCCTAACCATAAGATCCTCAAATATGACTAACCCTAACCCTAACCCTAACCCTAACCCTAAGATCCTCAAATATGACTAAACCTAACCCTAACCATAAGATCCTCAAATATGACTAACCCTAACCCTAACCCTAACCCTAAGATCCTCAAATATGACTAACCCTAACCCTAACCCTAACCCAACAATGAGAACCGACAAACCCAAAAAGCTAGTAAGGGTTGCGTCTAGCTGGTGACCCAGATTGCAACATTATCCAGGTCTCCAACCATCGACGTGTGCCCTCCCCTTTCACTGGTGGAGGCCGCTCAAGCGTAACGCCAATCGTGGCTAGATGAAAGATACCGACCGAGCCAACCAACTGACACTCAGCTATTCGGAATCGATTTTTGGTGTCTGGAATTTAAGCTGATCGATATGGGTTTGTATCGATACCTACAACCAAGCACAACCCCGACAAATAAATAAGTAATCGAACTTTAAACTAGTTATCAATACCTCCGCCGGTAAGATATGTCGTGTTACCACAAAACATCTTTATAGTATGGTTAAGGTTAGGGTTAGGGTTAGGGTTAGGGTTAAGGTTAGGGTTATGGGCAAATTACTTTTTAAAAGAATTTTTTAAATAAATTAATATAAAACACAAAAGCTAAAACTTTAAAGCTAAAATCTTTTTAAAGACTTTCAATAGTAATTTTTAAACTCATAACTTTAGACCATGAGCACTATAATAATCTAACACTTAAATCCATCGAAGTATCCACGACATACATGTTACAAACATTTTACAATCAATCAAACATACAGAATTGATCTTTATTTATATATATATATATATATATATATATATATATATATATATATATATATATATATATATATATATATATATATATATATATATGCGTAACAGTTCAGAAGTGTGTATGACTTTTGTTTTTTAAACCTTTTCTCGACGCAAATTGTATATGCTGTATCCTTTTTAAAAACAAATATAGTGTTATAATTTCTTTAGGCCAGGTGTTCTATGTTCTATCTTTGGAACAATCGTTGTTATTTTTTTTTTTTTTACATAGATGGATTATAAGACGTCATGTTGTGTATTAATATCATAATTTACCTGAATTATTACTTTGTAGTTGAACTAGTTATCTCCCCTACTACTCCATTTAGTTTTTGCTCAGTTATTTCTCTTGTCAAACTCAGTCGTCGCCCCCCTTTTCTTTGTGTCGTCTTGACACTACAGGCGTGCTAGCGTTCGTTGACGCTCGATACACACGGCATACCAGGGGTTGACACGGTGCTACACACGGCAGCGGGTTGACACGGTGCTACACACGGCAGCGGGTTGACCTGCACGTAAGTTGTGTTTTTTTTTCTTGCTTTAAATTTGAATTGTTTTGTCTTGGATTAAAGGTGAAGTGTGTTTTGTTACTTCACTCAGAATTTTGGTGTGTTGTCTTAACTGGTGTTAGATTTTTTGGTGTGTAAGATTTTTTGGTGTGTTCTCTTAACTATTGTGGTAGATTTTGTGGTGTGTTAGATTTTTGGTGTGTTCTCTTAACTATTGTGTTATATTTTTTGGTGTGTAAGATTTTTTGGTGTGTTGTAATATACTGGTGTGATATATTTTTTGGTGTGTAGTAATATACTGGTGTGTTATATTTTTTGGTGTGTTTTCTTAACTGTTGTGTTGGATTTTTTGGTGTGTAGTATATACTGGTGTGTTATATTTTTTGGTGTGTAGTAATATACTGGTGTGTTATATTTTTTGGTGTGTTTTCTTAACTGTTGTGTTGGATTTTTTGGTGTGTAGTATATACTGGTGTTCCAGCCCTAACCCACATTGAAACCAGTTTAACTGTTCAGTTACCCGTTGAATGGTGCAGTAGAGTTGACCTTACCTGACCTCAGGTCCATTGAATGGTGCAGTAGAGTTGACCTTATCTGACCTCAGGTCCACCTATGCACAGCCTCCTGTACTTCCCATCAATACCATCGGTTACTCCAATGTAACAATTTCACTACCAATGTAACAATTTCACTACCAATGTAACAATTTCACTACCCTTGTAACAATCTCACTACCCTTGTAACAATTTCACTACCAATGTAACAGTTTCACTACCCTTGTAACAATCTCACTACCAATGTAACAGTTTCACTACCCTTGTAACAATCTCACTACCAATGTAACAATTTCACTACCCTTGTAACAATCTCACTACCCATGTAACAGTTTCACTACCAGTGGGGCAATTTCACTACCAATGTAACAATTTCACTACCAGTGTAACAATTTCACTACCCTTGTAACAATCTCACTACCCTTGTAACAATTTCACTACCAGTGTAACAATTTCACTACCAATGTAACAATCTCACTACCCTTGTAACAATTTCACTACCAGTGTAACAATTTCACTACCAATGTAACAATTTCACTACCAATGTAACAATTTCACTACCAGTGTAACAATTTCACTACCCTTGTAACAATCTCACTACCCTTGTAACAATTTTACTACCAATGTAACAATCTCACTACCCTTGTAACAATTTCACTACCAATGTAACAATTTCACTACCAATGTAACAATCTCACTACCAGTGTAACAATTTCACTACCAATGTAACAATTTCACTACCCTTGTAACAATTTTACTACCCTTGTAACAATTTCACTACCAATGTAACAGTTTCACTACCAATGTAACAATTTCACTACCCTTGTAACAGTTTCACTACCAGTGTAACAATTTCACTACCCTTGTAACAATTTCACTACCCTTGTAACAATTTCACTACCCTTGTAACAATTTCACTACCAATGTAACAGTTTCACTACCAGTGTAACAATTTCACTACCAATGTAACAATTTCACTACCAATGTAACAATTTCACTACCAATGTAACAATTTCACTACCCTTGTAACAATTTCACTACCAGTGTAACAATTTCACTACCAATGTAACAATTTCACTACCAATGTAACAATTTCACTACCAATGTAACAATTTCACTACCCTTGTAACAATTTCACTACCAATGTAACAATTTTACTACCCTTGTAACAATTTCACTACCAGTGTAACAATTTCACTACCAATGTAACAATTTCACTACCCTTGTAACAATTTCACTACCCTTGTAACAATTTCACTACCCTTGTAACAATTTCACTGCCAATGTAACAATTTCACTACCAATGTAACAATTTCACTACCCTTGTAACAATTTCACTACCCATGTAACAATCTGACTATACTTGTAATAAAGAAAGCACAGACAGGTAATTAGACACACAGACGGACACATGTGTGATTAAAAAAATGTAAAGCCTAGCTCGAGCCTAAAGTTAACCCTTTGACTCCCCCCCCCCCCCCAATCCTAAGCCTATTCTACCAGTGGTATAAGACTAATTCAAGATAAGCATGAATTTCTCAGGCAAGTCTGTTTGCCAGTAGAGACCTAATTTATCACACCTTTGGCTGTGAAGTTTGGCTGTGTCTGACATGTTTGAAGTTGATCTTTTCTATTTTGTTTACAGGCTGCACTAGATACAGTTTTTATGACAAATTAAATATAGGTGGTTTTGGATTAGTTTGTACCAAATGAATATTGTACCAAATGAATATTTGTACCAAATGAATTCTTGTACCAAATAAATCTTGTACCAAATGAATATTGTACCAAATGAATATTGTACCAAATGAATATTTGTACCATATGAATGCTTGTTATGATCCAGCCCTAACCCTGGTGTATGTAATCTAACCCTAACTATATGTATGACCTCACCATAAGCATAATGTATCTATTATCTAACCTTAACTGATCTGATCTACATATGTCTGATCTACATATGTCTGATATGTCTGAGCTTATATGTTATAGAACTCTCAAACAACTAACCCTAACCACTAACCCTAACCCTAACCCGAATTACTAACACAACAACTAAACCCATTATTTAGATGATTTTTATTATTTTCCACAGAACCGTTAACACTCAGGATTAAAGTATGACCAATTGAACGAAAGGAACACTGAGTCCACAATCCTAACTTGATGAAAAACATCGCTAATTGTGTTGGGCACCAAATTTCTCTCAATCAAATCTTAGTGGAGCAAGCTCTTGAGTCCAGTGGTCAGATTGGTGTCAATCAAATGATGCTGCTACATAATGTAACCTAAACCCTAACCCTAACAGCTTAAACTCTGAGTGACGTCATTGCCTCCCTCTCCTATGGATGACGTGTGTTTAGTACCTGAGATATGCTGGATGTCATGGGGAACGGATTGTGGATAACTCTTGGACCCGCCCATCATTTCCTGGTCCTTATTTTGGTTATGTTGGTTCCATGCGAGTGTACAACAGGCAAGTACACCATTTTGACTAGTCTTATTTAGGTTTTGTTGGTTAAGTGTACAACAGGCAAGTACATCATTTTGACTAGTCTTATTTAGGTTTTGTTGGTTAAGTGTACAACAGGCAAGTACATCATTTTGACTAGTCTTATTTAGGTTTTGTTGGTTAAGTGTACAACAGGCAAGTACATCATTTTGACTAGTCTTATTTAGGTTTTGTTGGTTAAGTGTACAACAGGCAAGTACATCATTTTGACTAGTCTTATTTAGGTTTTGTTGGTTAAGTGTACAACAGGCAAGTACATCATTTTGACTAGTCTTATTTAGGTTTTGTTGGTTAAGTGTACAACAGGCAAGTACATCATTTTGACTAGTCTTATTTAGGTTTTGTTGGTTAAGTGTACAACAGGCAAGTACATCATTTTGACTAGTCTTATTTAGGTTTTGTTGGTTAAGTGTACAACAGGCAAGTACATCATTTTGACTAGTCTTATTTAGGTTTTGTTGGTTAAGTGTACAACAGGCAAGTACATCATTTTGACTAGTCTTATTTAGGTTTTGTTGGTTAAGTGTACAACAGGCAAGTACATCATTTTGACTAGTCTTATTTAGGTTTTGTTGGTTAAGTGTACAACAGGCAAGTACATCATTTTGACTAGTCTTATTTAGGTTTTGTTGGTTAAGTGTACAACAGGCAAGTACATCATTTTGACTAGTCTTATTTAGGTTTTATTGGTTAAGTGTACAACAGGCAAGTACATCATTTTGACTAGTCTTATTTAGGTTTTGTTGGTTAAGTGTACAACAGGCAAGTACACCATTTTGACTAATCTTATTTAGGTTTTGTTGGTTCCATGCTAGTGTACAACAGGCAAGTACACCATTTTGACTAGTCTTATTTAGGCTTTGTTGGTTAAGTGTACAACAGGCAAGTACACCATTTTGACTAGTCTTATTTAGGTTTTGTTGGTTAAGTGTACAACAGGCAAGTACACCATTTTGACTAGTCTTATTTAGGTTTTGTTGGTTCCATGCTAGTGTACAACAGGCAAGTACACCATTTTGACTAATCTTATTTAGGTTTTGTTGGTTAAGTGTACAACAGGCAAGTACACCATTTTGACTAATCTTATTTAGGTTTTGTTGGTTCCATGCTAGTGTACAACAGGCAAGTACACCATTTTGACTAATCTTATTTAGGTTTTGTTGGTTAAGTGTACAACAGGCAAGTACACCATTTTGACTAATCTTATTTAGGTTTTGTTGGTTCCATGCTAGTGTACAACAGGCAAGTACACCATTTTGACTAGTCTTATTTAGGTTTTGTTGGTTAAGTGTACAACAGGCAAGTACACCATTTTGACTAGTCTTATTTAGGTTTTGTTGGTTCCATGCTAGTGTACAACAGGCAAGTACACCATTTTGACTAGTCTTATTTAGGTTTTGCAGCTCCAAAACACGATACACAAATTACTTTAAACAACACCAGATGTACAAATACTAAAATGTAGCCAGACTTTTAAATTGTTTATTTAAATTAATCTTAATTAACCCTAACCCTAACCCTTAAGCTTATTTTGTTGTAGCTAGAATTTTTAAAATTTTACTTAAATCAACTTTCGAAAAGGTGCTCGTATCATAAAAAAGAGCGTTATCACCTTTTTTTGTACCACTAAATACAAGTAGCATTCTATATCAAAAGATTCTACACATTTTGCATTGTATATGCGACCAGAGGCGTAGCGACCTTTCCCGGCGCCCGGGGACAAACTTTTCGTTTCGCACCCCCCCCCCCCCTCAAGATTTCGATTTGCACCCCCCCCCCCCTCAAGCTTTCAATTTATTTTTCCAACCCATTTTGGCGCCCCCTGAGGTCGGCGCAATGGGACATATGTCCCCCCCCCCCCCATCCCCTTCGCTACGCTACTGTATGCGACCTGGCCATCAAGCAGATTTAGCATTTGTGTGCTATCCCAGGCCTCCATAAAAAAGCCACCTGAAGATCTTCATCAAGTCATAGTAAAATGTTATTTACGGAGGCTCAAGCGGTTTGGGTTTTTAAATATTCATGGATATCGATACATGAAACAATCAATGGATATCGATACATGAAACAATCAATGGATATCGATACATGAAACAATCAATGGATATCGATACATGAAACAATCAATGGATATCGATACATGAAACAATCAATGGATATCGATACATCAAACAATCAATGGATATCGATACATGAAACAATCAATCAACCTTTTATATTCTTTAATATCTCACAAGTTTGTGAGCAGTACATGATAATTTAGCGGACTTATTGGTAGGGCTAGAGGACAGCACTATCACTGAACATTATTTTATGGTTCATACATGTTATAAAACAGGCATGTGTTAACCCTATACCTTCAGATGTCTTAAGGGGTCGTCCATAAATAAAGTCACATTCGTAGGGGGCGGGGGGGGGGTCCATAATTTTGTGACGGTGTGTGATGAGCTGTAGGGGGCGGGGGGGGGGGTGTTCAGATTAAATAAATTGTAATAGGAATTGATTAAAATGCTCTATGTTGATAGAGTTCAGACAATGTGGAAAAATATTTTAAGAATAATTCATTTGCAATTTTGAGGGGGGGGGGGGTTGTAGATTGAGGTGTGACGTCATTTTAGGGTGGGGGGGGGGGGAGTCTGGCTTTTGTGACGATATGTGACGAGGGGGGGGGGAGGTAAAATTAGTCAAGAAAGCGTGACATCATTTATGGATGACCCCTAACTCTATACCTACCGATGTCTTAACTCTATACCTACATATGCCATATCTTTCACTTCACAGAATCGATGTTTCGTATAACACCCCCACCTTACTACGTGGTTTTTTCTGGTGACCTTGACTTTAGTTACACCATTCCAGGAAACGTGTCCTTGCCGCATGCCTTCATCAGACTAGAATACCAAGGAAAGGTGGGTTAAGGCTTGAAGTACACTTGGGTTAGCGTCAACTAGCTAGCTCAAACCAGTTTTATTTATTAATAAACCAAGTTAACTAAAATATGTGGTGACATGACACAAGTGACACCTGATGTGTGGTGACATGACACAAGTAACACCTGATGTGTGGTGACATGACACAAGTGACACCTGATGTGTGGTGACATGACACAAGTGACACCTGATGTGTGGTGACATGACACAAGTGACACATGACGTGTGGTGACATGACACAAGTGACACCTGGTAGCCAGCAATTTAATACTGACATCATTTGGTGTGTGTGTGTGTGGGGGGGGGGTAATTAAATTCACATCATTTGGTGGTGAGTAATTAAAAACTCACATGATGCTATTAAAGCAGTTTCGAATAAATGGATCGCCTCGTATTGTTCGTTAATAAGGTAACTAGAACCTAACCCGGTAAGGGATGAATTTGAATTGTCTGCTTCATATATCACATGAAACTATCTGTTATTATCTCTGCAGATATCAGATGAAATTATCTGTTATTATCTCTACAGATATCAGATGAAATTATCTGTTATTATCTCTACAGATATCAGATGAAAGTATCTGTTATTATCTTTACAGATATCAGATGAAATTATCTGTTATTATCTTTACAGATATCAGATGAAATTATCTGTTATTATCTCTACAGATATCAGATGAAATTATCTGCTATTATCTCTGCAGATATCAGATGAAAGTATCTGTCATTATCTCTGCAGATATCAAATGAAATAATCTGTTATTATCTCTACAGATATCAGATGAAATTATCTGCTATTATCTCTGCAGATATCAGATGAAAGTATCTGTTATTATCTCTGCAGATATCAGATGAAATTACCTGTTATTATCTCTACAGATATCAGATGAAATTATCAGCTATTATCTCTACCGCTATCAGATGAAATTACCTGTTATTATCTCTACAGATATCAGATAAAATTATCGATTATTATCTCTACAGATATCAGATGAAAGTATCTGTTATTATCTCTGCAGATATCAGATGAAAGTATCTGTTATTATCTCTACAGATATCAGATGAAAGTATCTGTTATTATCTCTGCAGATATCAGAGGAAATTACCTGTTATTATCTCTACAGATATCAGATAAAATTATCGATTATTATCTCTACAGATATCAGATGAAAGTATCTGTTATTATCTCTGCAGATATCAGATGATCCTTTGATCATCACCACACTAGGCCTGAGACTGGGCAAGAAATCAGAGACTCTAAAAGTCGCCTGTGGCGTCATTGAATTCGCCGGCAACTACACGCTAAAGATGTACACACGAGTTCGTGGCGAAGTCCTTGTTTCAGCTAATCTGGAGGTCAGATGGCCGGAGGTCGCCATGTCCCTACCTGATGCACACGAAGCCCAGACCCTGGGTGTGGAGCTGAGGATCATCTCAAAGGCGAATTGCACGTCACTGCTACAGAGGAACCACTGGCTCCTGCAGCTTTACTTTCAGCGTAACGACATAGGCGGATCTCTGTTGGTTCTATCAGAGGCAGAACTGGTCTCTACCTCCAACTTTACAGATGTAAACAAACTCTACTCCACCTCCGTCTTCGGATGTCACTTATTCGATCTAGACGGATCTTATCAAGCGGTCCTGGTGTCATCTCAAGTTGGGAGCCCTGTCATAGCTGTCAGCAACGTCATGGTGGTCAGCTGGAGCATGGCCTACATGCTGACCAGCACGTCACAGAGTGTCTTCCCTTGTGAGAACTCTGTCCACCTTCTCTATACACATCCTCCCTGCTCGGGCACCGATAAAATACGACTCTATCGCTTCAAGCAGATTCTTGATAGCAGTATCGCCTCCCCTTTAGAGAGAATTTACATCACGGAGTTGCCTGCCCAGCCGGATCTGGTGAGAATGTCGTTTGATTGTCGCCTCTTCAACCAGTCCTCCACTGGCTTTTGTTTTATCTACGTCAGTGTCACAAGGCACAAGGTTGTTACAGAACAAAAACAGCTCTGTCTCCCTGCCTTCAAACACTCAGGTACGTTTTTACCTGTTACAGGACGTTTTTACCTGGTACAGGACGTTTTTACCTGTTACAGGACGTTTTTACCTGGTACAGGACGTTTTTACCTGTTACAGGACGTTTTTACTTGGTACAGGACTACATAGTTCAGGACAAATTAGTTCAGGACAAATTAGTTCAGGACTAATTAGTTCAGGGCTAAATAGTTCAGGACTAAATAGTTCAGGACTAAATAGTTCACAACAAATTAGTTCAGGACTAAATAGTTCAGTACAAATTAGTTCAGGACTAGTTAGTTCAGAACAAATTAGTTCAGGACTAAATAGTTCAGGACTAAATAGTTCAGGACTAAATAGTTCACAACAAATTAGTTCAGGACTAAATAGTTCAGTACAAATTAGTTCAGGACTAGTTAGTTCAGAACAAATTAGTTCAGGACTAAATAGTTCAGGACTAAATAGTTCAGGACTAGTTAGTTGAGAACAAATTAGTTCAGGACTAGTTAGTTCAGGACTAAATAGTTCAGTACAAATTAGTTCAGGACTAATTAGTTCACGAAAAATTAGTTCACGAAAAATTAGTTCAGGACTAGTTAGTTCAGGACTAGTTAGTTCAGGACTAAATAGTTCAGTACAAATTAGTTCAGGACTAATTAGTTCACGACAAATTAGTTCAGTACAAATTAGTTCAGGACTAATTACTTCACGACAAATTAGTTCAGGACAAAATATTTTAGTACAAATTATTTTTAGGACAAATTATTTCAGGACACATTAGTTCAGGACTAATTAGTTCAGGATTAATTAGTTCATGACAAATTAGTTCAAGACGAATTAGTTCAGGACAAAATATTTTAGGACAAATTAGTTCAGGACAAATTAGTTCAGGGCTAATTAGTTAATGGCTAATTAGTTCAGGATAAATTAGTTCAAGACTAAATAGTTCAGGACTAGATATTTTAGGACAAAATAGTTCAGGACTAGATATTTTAGGACAAAATAGTTCAGGACAAGTTAGTTCAGGACAAATTAGTTCAGGATAAATTAGTTCAAGACAAAATATTTTAGGACTAAATAGTTCAGGACTAGATATTTTAGGACAAAATAGTTTTGGACAAGTTAGTTCAGGACAAATAAGTTCAGGACAAATATTTGTTCGATGCCTGGTCGCCAACTTTCACATATGGCCGATTTAATAACTAAGATGCACAGAGCTTAAGTACCGGATAATTTTTTGGTGTTGTAAATTCGCCTGTTTTCCACATAATTACAATGTTTATATCAGAAGAAGTGTTCTCTCGTTTTGACACCCTTTTTTCCTTATCTCTGGGGTTAGGGACCCTGGGGTTAGGGTTAGGGACCCTGGGGACCGGTCTACGATCGTATAACATATCAGGGAATGTTATCGAGAAGAAATTGTTTTCGATTTATAGATTATATAAGGTGCTGGTCAACCAAGGTGACTTTATAGCCATATACGAGGGCATAGAGTCTGACCGATAGTTTTCCTTGTATTCTATTCGCCCGACGCGAGAGCCTGTCCATTGAGGAGTTTCTCTCATTCGGGCAAGTGTACTTTCTAGAATTAGTCGTAGCCCCCACAAATATAACCATTACCATAACCCATCAATGTCTAATCCTTTTAAAATGTTCTTTTCACACGCTAATCCCATGGATTAATTACTGGTGAGATACTATGATTATTATTGGCTTATTTATTGTATGCTTTAAAAAAATATTCTTTGTGTATTTGTTGTAGATCACTTATCAGTTGATACAATTTTCATTTTATTGTTTTGCTTTGCTTGAATGTTGTAGTATTATTTTCAAAACCATTTTTTATGTTATACGTTTTGTAACCCTTTTACTATAATTTGTTTCGTAATTAAAGCTAAATTTTGAGACTAAATTAATAGCTATGTCGAATTACACGTATAATTCAATACAATATAAGCCTCTTTTTTAAAAAAAAAGTACATTTTGTGTCGGAAAAAAGCTATTTTAGAAATAACCAATTTTATGCGTTTCCTTTTTACTTTATTGAAGACAGTATAATGAAATATGGCTATTAAGTAGGTCACCAACCAGTTCTACGGCTCAATAAACACTGCATGAGCCATAGAACTGGTTGGTGACCTACTTACCAGCCCTATTATTGCCAGGTTGCAAAAAAAAGCACAAAATTTCGCAAGTTTTACCGTTTGACACCTTCCTACTTTCTCAGTACGGAATGTAGAGGAAGTAGTGTAATCGTGTAAAACACTGACATTTTGACAAATCTTGACGGTTTACACTGACGTAAATTGAAACATTGAAATCTTGTCACAAATCTTTATATTTATTTAAATAGGGATGCATTAATATACATTTGTTTCAATACTTTAAAATATTTAATACAACAGAATGCATTGGTTAAAAACAGTTGCGTGCTAAATGAACACGAAATTTTCGTATAATAACGCGAAAAAAAGTACTTTAGATAGGAAACTTTTATTGATTCATAAAAAAAAATAATTAAACATTCAGTTTAAGAAAAATTTATGTCAGATCAAATTATCTTTGAGTCTTGACCCACGTGACAAGATTAAGAGAAATTGGTCGTTTAGAAGTGGTCGACATTTTGCTCGCCAGTTTATCCAGAGGTAGTAAGTTAAATAAAAGCTTGTACAATATATATATATATATATATATATATATATATATATATATATATATATATATATATATATATATATATATATATATATATATACTAGCTGAATACCCGTGCTCCGCCACGGTACATCTTTTTAAAATGTACCAACTTGGGAACAGAACAAAACTAAACACAACACATACACAAAAGAAAACACAAACACAACACAACTTCAAAAGAAATCATAACCACAATGCAAACGCAAACGAAAACACAAATGCAACACACAGACAAAAAAGAAAAAAGAAACGCAAATAAAAACTCAAACACAAAACAAAACAAAAATGCAAATAAAAACACAAATGAAAACACCAACACAATGCACACACAAACGCAAAAAAACACAACACTCATAACATAAACACAACTTAAATGCAAACATAAACGCATAGTGCTCACAATTTAGCCCGTGGCGCCAAATCGCACCCTGTCAAAGCGCCGGCGGACGCGCCTGATTCAGTGAATGACTATAAAAAACCCAGCTTGTCCGCAAACGGAAAGTTAGATTAATAATTAGTAAACAGTATGTTCAGTGTATAAAATAAATAAAAGGCAGTATTTAAAATATCCGTGTTTTACGTACAATATTGCACTTTATCTGTTCATGCTTTTTTTTCAGTACTTTAAATTTTAAAAATTTACAATAGAGTTTCATGACTAAAACCATTGCGCACCGAATGAACGTGATGACACGTCTATAACAGTTCGGAATAATTGATTAAAAATTATAATTAGTAAACAGGACGTTTAGTGAATACAATAAATAAAAGACAGCCTTTTATCAATCCATGCTAATTATAATATTCCAACAATAATGTCCTCTTACAATAATGTCCTCTGCAGATTTGTATTAACATTTTGCTAATTATATTATTGCAACAATAATTCCTTCTAGGAGGTCCGTAGATTTTGGAATCACAGTTTTTAAAATAAGTTTGAGTTGAATTTATTTTTAAATTACATCCCTTAAAAATTACAAAACAGTTGAATTAATTCGTTTTTTCGACCCTATCATTATTAAAATGTATCCACGTTTTCCTGAAATCTAAATGAAAATATTTTACATTGATCCTTTTAATATATATTAGCAATGTGCGTGTATTTAATATTTTCTTTACGTTATGCAAAACAGTAAAAACAGTGGCAACTATAAAATAAATATAAGTCGTTATATAAACAAACCAACTCTATTGATTATAATAAGACAATGCGATGCACTGAAAAGCACTGCATGGTGCGATGTTTACTTTTATGGTGTCAAAAGCTACAGTGATATCACGAGGAAGAACTGACACACTACCAGCCCGCTTATGTTATATATATAATATATATATATATATATATATATATATATATATATATATATATATATATATATATATATATAATATATGTGTGAGTGTGTGATAAAATGTATTGAAACAACAACCGTTTGAATCAATTATTGCCTTTGTCACTATGCTACTACTTATTCCTGCATACATCACTACGTCCTGTCCAGATGTTAACTCAGTCCTGTCCAGTTGTTAACTCAGTCCTGTCCAGTTGTTAACTCAGTGCTGTCCAGTTGTTAACTCAGTCCTGTCCAGTTGTTAACTCAGTCCTGCCCATTTGTTAACTCAGCCCTGCCCATTTGTTAACTCAGCCCTGCCCATTTGTTAACTCAGTCCTGCCCATTTGTTAACTCAGTCCTGCCCATTTGTTAACTCAGTCCTGTCCAGTTGTTAACTCAGTCCTGCCCATTTGTTAACTCAGTCCTGCCCATTTGTTAACTCAGTCCTGCCCATTTGTTAACTCAGTCCTGTCCAGTTGTTAACTCAGTGCTGTCCAGTTGTTAAATCAGTCCTGTCCAGTTGTTAACTCAGTCCTGCCCATTTGTTAACTCAGCCCTGCCCATTTGTTAACTCAGCCCTGCCCATTTGTTAACTCAGTCCTGCCCATTTGTTAACTCAGTCCTGTCCAGTTGTTAACTCAGTCCTGTCCAGTTGTTAACTCAGTGCTGTCCAGTTGTTAACTCAGTGCTGTCCATTTGTTAACTCAGCCCTGCCCATTTGTTAACTCAGCCCTGCCCATTTGTTAACTCAGTCCTGCCCATTTGTTAACTCAGTCCTGTCCAGTTGTTAACTCAGTCCTGTCCAGTTGTTAACTCAGTGCTGTCCATTTGTTAACTCAGTGCTGTCCAGTTGTTAACTCAGTGCTGTCCAGTTGTTAACTCAGTGCTGTCCAGTTGTTAACTCAGTCCTGTCCAGTTGTTAACTCAGTCCTGTCCAGTTGTTAACTCAGTCCTGTCCAGTTGTTAACTCAGTGCTGTCCATTTGTTAACTCAGTGCTGTCCAGTTGTTAACTCAGTCCTGTCCAGTTGTTAACTCAGTGCTGTCCATTTGTTAACTCAGTGCTGTCCAGTTGTTAACTCAGTCCTGTCCAGTTGTTAACTCAGTGCTGTCCAGTTGTTAACTCAGTGCTGTCCATTTGTTAACTCAGTGCTGTCCAGTTGTTAACTCAGTCCTGTCCAGTTGTTAACTCAGTCCTGCCCATTTGTTAACTCAGTGCTGTCCATTTGTTAACTCAGTGCTGTCCAGTTGTTAACTCAGTCCTGTCCAGTTGTTAACTCAGTGCTGTCCAGTTGTTAACTCAGTGCTGTCCATTTGTTAACTCAGTGCTGTCCAGTTGTTAACTCAGTCCTGTCCAGTTGTTAACTCAGTGCTGTCCAGTTGTTAACTCAGTGCTGTCCATTTGTTAACTCAGTGCTGTCCAGTTGTTAACTCAGTCCTGTCCAGTTGTTAACTCAGTCCTGTCCATTTGTTAACTCAGTGCTGTCCATTTGTTAACTCAGTGCTGTCCAGTTGTTAACTCAGTCCTGTCCAGTTGTTAACTCAGTCCTGCCCATTTGTTAACTCAGCCCTGCCCATTTGTTAACTCAGCCCTGCCCATTTGTTAACTCAGTCCTGTCCAGTTGCTAACTCAGTCCTGTCCAGTTGTTAACTCAGTCCTGCCCATTTGTTAACTCAGTCCTGTCCAGTTGTTAACTCAGTCCTGTCCAGTTGTTAACTCAGTCCTGTCCAGTTATTAACTCAGTCCTGCCCATTTGTTAACTCAGCCCTGCCCATTTGTTAACTCAGCCCTGCCCATTTGTTAACTCAGTGCTGTCCAGTTGTTAACTCAGTCCTGTCCAGTTGTTAACTCAGTGCTGTCCATTTGTTAACTCAGTGCTGTCCAGTTGTTAACTCAGTGCTGTCCAGTTGTTAACTCAGTCCTGTCCAGTTGTTAACTCAGTCCTGTCCAGTTGTTAACTCAGTCCTGCCCATTTGTTAACTCAGTCCTGTCCAGTTGTTAACTCAGTCCTGTCCAGTTGTTAACTCAGTCCTGCCCATTTGTTAACTCAGTGCTGTCCAGTTGTTAACTCAGTCCTGTCCAGTTGTTAACTCAGTGCTGTCCATTTGTTAACTCAGTGCTGTCCAGTTGTTAACTCAGTCCTGCCCATTTGTTAACTCAGTCCTGTCCAGTTGTTAACTCAGTCCTGTCCAGTTGTTAACTCAGTCCTGTCCAGTTGTTAACTCAGTCCTGTCCAGTTGTTAACTCATTCACTGAGTTGTTAACTCAGTGCTGTCCAGTTGTTAACTCAGTCCTGCCCATTTGTTAACTCAATCCTGTCCAGTTGTTAACTCAGTCCTGTCCAGTTGTTAACTCAGTCCTGCCCATTTGTTAACTCAGTCCTGTCCAGTTGTTAACTCAGTCCTGTCCAGTTGTTATCTCAGTGCTGTCCAGTTGTTAACTCAGTCCTGTCCAGTTGTTAACTCAGTCCTGTCCAGTTGTTAACTCAGTGCTGTCCATTTGTTAACTCAGTCCTGCCCATTTGTTAACTCAGTCCTGTCCAGTTGTTAACTCAGTCCTGTCCAGTTGTTAACTCAGTCCTGTCCAGTTGTTAACTCAGTCCTGTCCAGTTGTTAACTCAGTCCTGTCCAGTTGTTAACTCAGTCCTGTCCAGTTGTTAACTCAGTGCTGTCCAGTTGTTAACTCAGTCCTGTCCAGTTGTTAACTCAGTCCTGTCCAGTTGTTAACTCAGTCCTGTCCAGTTGTTAACTCAATGCTGTCCATTTGTTAACTCAGTCCTGCCCATTTGTTAACTCAGTCCTGTCCAGTTGTTAACTCAGTCCTGCCCATTTGTTAACTCAGTCCTGTCCAGTTGTTAACTCAGTCCTGTCCAGTTGTTAACTCAGTCCTGTCCAGTTGTTAACTCAATGCTGTCCAGTTGTTAACTCAGTGCTGTCCAGTTGTTAACTCAGTCCTGTCCATTTGTTAACTCAGTGCTGTCCAGTTGTTAACTCAGTCCTGCCCATTTGTTAACTCAGTCCTGTCCAGTTGTTAACTCAGTCCTGTCCATTTGTTAACTCAGTGCTGTCCAGTTGTTAACTCAGTCCTGTCCAGTTGTTAACTCAGTCCTGCCCATTTGTTAACTCAGTCCTGTCCAGTTGTTAACTCAGTCCTGCCCATTTGTTAACTCAGTCCTGTCCAGTTGTTAACTAAGTCCTGTCCATCCTTTGTCCCCAGTATTTCCAACAGACGGAGGCTGGAGTATGTGGACGTCATGGACGGCTTGCTCTGTTACATGCGGCACCGGCAGAAAAAGCCGTTTCCGGATATGCAATGAGCCAACACCCAAACATGGCGGACGATTTTGTTCCGGAGATCCGGTGGAGTGGAGGCCATGCGAGCTGCATTGTCCAGGTATGTCCTAGATAGTTTTGTCCAGGTATGTCCTAGATAGTTTTGTCCAGGTATGTCCTAGATAGTTTTGTCCAGGTATGTCCTAGATAGTTTTGTCCAGGTATGTCCTAGATAGTTTTGTCCAGGTATGTCCTAGATAGTTTTGTCCAGGTATGTCCTAGATAGTTTTGTCCAGGTATGTCCTAGATAGTTTTGTCCAGGTATGTCCTAGATAGTTTTGTCCAGGTATGTCCTAGATAGTTTTGTTCAGGTATGTCCTAGATAGTTTTGTCCAGGTATGTCCTAGATAGTTTTGTCCAGGTATGTCCTAGATAGTTTTGTCCAGGTATGTCCTAGATAGTTTTGTCCAGGTATGTCCTAGATAGTTTTGTCCAGGTATGTCCTAGATAGTTTTGTCCAGGTATGTCCTAGATAGTTTTGTCCAGTTACGTCCTAGATAGTTTTGTCCAGGTATGTCCTAGATAGTTTTGTTCAGGTATGTCCTAGATAGTTTTGTTCAGTTACGTCCTGATAGTTTTGTCCAGGTATGTCCTAGATAGTTTTGTCCAGATATGTCCTAGATAGTTTTGTTCAGGTATGTCCTAGATAGTTTTGTCCAGTTATGACCTTTATTGTTTAGTCATAGCTCTATATGTTGTTTTTTTGCCCAGGTATGTCCTAGATAGTTCAGGTATGGCCATATGTTTTGTTTAGCTAATTGCTGGATTATTATGATCAGGAAAGCAGATGCGTTTATCATAAGAAAAAAATCTGTACAAATTTAAATACTCTAAAAATTAAAAAAAATCGGTACAAATTAAAAAGCTCTAAAAATAAATTTGTACAAATTGAAAAACTCTAAAAAAAAAAAAATCTGTAAAAATTGAAATTGAAATACTATAAAAATAAAAAAATCTGTACAAATTGAAAAGCTCTAAAAAATATATCTGAACAAATTGAAAAACTCAAAAAATAAAAAAAATCTGTACAAATTGAAAAGCTCTAAAAAATGAATCTGAACAAATTGAAACACTCTAAAAATACATCTGTACAAATTGAAAAGCTCTAAAAAATAAATCTGTACCAATTAAAAAAAACCTCTAAAATAATTAATCTGTACAAATTGAAAAACTCAAAAAAAATTCTATACAAATTGAAAAGCTCTAAAAAATGAATCTGAACAAATTGAAAAACTCTGAAAATACATCTGTAAAAATTGAAAAGCTCTAAAAAATAAAACTGTACCAATTAAAAAACTCTAAAATAATGAATCTGAACAAATTGAAAAACTCAAAAAATAAAAAAATCTGAACAAATTGAAAAACTCGAAAGAGTTGAACATGAATTGTATAGCGAAGTGAAGCTCTCTCTCCCGTTTCCTCCCGCCACACCATCGTAAACATCTTCCGTTAGCTCAGTTCGGCTTGTTTCGAAGGTAGAATATTTTTCAAAAATTCTATTATTTCTTTTTATTATCTTTTCCTGGGCAGCACTATGCCCAGCCGCTTTTACTTTCCCTAACCCTAACCAGTGGCGGAACTACAAAAAAGGGCCACCCCGCAAAAAAATATTCTGGGCCTCCCCCCTATATATATATATATATATATATATATATATATATATATATATATATATATATATATATATATATATATATATATATATATATATATAACACCAAATACAGAATACAAACATTGGATACTCATTTCTGGACTGATCGGGTTTTGAAAAAAAAATTATTTTAATTTAAACAAATTACATGTCATGTGTGTGAATGCATTCGTCTGTTTTGAATATTATTTTGTTTTAGATTTAGATCTAGTTTATTCAAATTGTTTACTGTAATACTGCCTACCCTTTGGTTTCAGCAGGTCAAAAGAATCTAAAACTTGAAAGCTTTGTATGTTCAATGGTTTCTTGTGTTATGTTTATTTTTATGATTTTTTGTATTTATATTATTTCTTTCAAATATATTTCATTTTTCTTATATGTTATTCTTTAGTATGTATTTAAAAAAATAATAATAATTAAGAGAAGTAATTGCTTTTTAATTTGTTTAGTACGAATATATTTAAAGGAGCTTAGGAGCACCCCTATTTGACTATTTTAAAAAGGGAAATAAGTCATGGAAGTGTTTTGAACGTTTGCCTATCTTTCACACTACAGCTCAGGCACATATATATATATATTTTTTTTTTTTACGCAACGGCATGTGTTTGCCACTGTATAACATCGCTACTGTAGTAGATATGTTTGTTATTTATAAAAGCTTTTACCGCTAAGTCAAAAATGCAAGAGAATTATTTTTTTAACTATAAAAAATGTATTATGGTCGGCTATGGGCCCCTAAATGGCGTGCCCCCCCCCCCCCCCCCGCATTGCGGGGTCTGGCGGCACTGTAGTTCCGCCCCTGACCCTAACCCTCGGCATACAATTGTAGTCCAGAGGGAAACAAAGGCGGCTGGGCATAGTGCTGACCACACTGTCCCTTCATATGCCGAGGTCACTGAATCAGATGAACTCTACTTTATCTGCCCCATGTGTCTTGGTTGTCTTAATCCCCACGCACGAACGAGATTTAGACAGAAGAGGGTGTTACTCTGGGAGTCTGAGCGGATTAAGGGCGGATTAAGGGCATTTTAATCAATTTCCATGGGAAAAGTTAACATACGAGCACTGCACTGTCTTTTGTGAGAAACCTATCTTTAAAAGACCGTGACTTTGTGTGTTTATTCAGCATCACATACATGGCGCTGCCCGGGTCTTAGGAAAATATTAGATTTTTAATTCTTGTATAAATGCAAATAAAGAAAATATATAAAACCCTTAACCTAACTACAAACCGAACCCTCCACACACCCATTCACATACCACAAACACAAACGAAAATAGACATAAACCTTTTCCCCTCATCGCATTTTACGTCTAAAAAACAAACACATGCGCAAAAATATAAACACAAACATAAAAACAAATTAATCACAAAAACAAACATAAATCCTAACCCTCACTACAACCTCAAAACATACACACAAACACAAAAAAAAAACAAAAAAACATTAGCATAAGCATAAGCATAAACATAAAGCAAACCTCACCACACCCTTAACCACAACCACAAAAATTAACGTAAACTCCTTCATCCACCCATACACCTGCAAATATCCCTATACATATATCTATATCTAAACCTTTACCTAACGGATCTACGAACGATCCCCGAAATGCCCAAGTGCCGTTTTCCCTAATGCGAAAAACGCCCGAATGGACAAATACACCAACCGAAAAAATTGCCACAAATGGCATTCCTAATTTTTTAAAGTCAAATACTAAACCAAGCATATTTAAATACACATTTTGATATTTAATAACACTTACATAATATCAATCTTAACTTTGTATCAAACCCATATAAACTGCCCTTAACTACCATAACAATAAAGGACCAAATGTGACGTATCGAAACACTAACCCAATTGAATTAATCGTATCAAATATTTTTAAATTCTGTTGTTAGTTACCTGAAGTAGCAATAACATAAATAAAAATTAGTAAACAATGCAGCGGTGATGAGTTTGTAAATTACAAAAAAAAGTCAAACCTTTTTATAATTATAACAGCGTTTTAATTTAATTATATCCTCAACACCGTTTGTATTATCCAGAATCTATATATATAAAGCAAAGTGGTCGGGTGCCCGATAGGGCACTTCCCGGCGCCGCAGGCGCGTCAAATTTGGCACGAAGGTGCCTTATGGCGATAGAACACGAGGGCCGGTGACGGTTCGGCAAAAAGTCTACGGACAGGGGGTCAAAACTGACCTCGACTGACCGGCGCCTTATATGGGCTATATTACGAAAAAAAAATTCCTCCGACGACCCCCCTTGAAATTTTGTGAGGTGGTAGGAGAACACCTTGGGGTGTCACAAAAAACGCGGCATATCTGGGAAAACTTCGTAAAGGGGTCAAAACTGACCAGTTGTATTTCCCTATATAATCTTTGTATTTTATGGGAAAAACAGAGGGTCATTTCAACGCAGACTTTAGGGTACTTAAGCTCAGTATATCTGGCTATTTTTTTGCATGCTCCTAGGTCAATGGCTTGACCTTTAGGGAAAACTGTCGGTTACACTCAAAGCCCTTGACGAGGGCTAAAAAGTGACCGCGAGTGAAATTCTCTTTCTATGAGCTCTATTACGAAAAAAAAATTCCTCCGACGACCCCCCTTGATATTTTGTGAGGTGGTAGAAGAACACCTTGGGGTGTCACAAAAAACTCGCCATGTCCGGGAAAAATCGGTAAATGGGTCAAAACTGACCAGTCGTATTTCCCTATATAATCTTTGTATTTTATGGGGAAAACAGAGGGTCATTTCAAAACGGATTTTATAGCACTTACGCTCTTTACATCTGGCTCAGTTTTGGCATGCTTATAGGTAAATGGCTTGACCTTTAGGGAAAACTGTCGGTTACACTCAAAGCCCTCGACGAGGGCTAAAAAGTGACCGCGAGTGAAATTCTCTTTATATGAGCTCTATTACGAAAAAAAAATTCCTCCGACGACCCCCCTTGATATTTTGTGAGGTGGTAGGAGAACGCCTTGGGGTGTCACAAAAAACTCGCCATGTCCGGGAAAAATCGGTAAATGGGTCAAAACTGACCAGTCGTATTTCCCTATATAATCTTTGTATTTTATGGGGAAAACAGAGGGTCATTTCAAAACGGATTTTATGGCACTTACCCTCTTTACATCTGGCTCAGTTTTGGCATGCTTATAGGTAAATGGCTTGACCTTTAGGGAAAGCTGTCGGTTACACTCAAAGCACTCGACGAGGGCTAAAAAGTGACCGCGAGTGAAATTCTCTTTATATGAGCTCTATTACGAAAAAAAATTTCCTCCGACGACCCCCCTTGAAATTTTGTGAGGTGGTAGGAGAACACCTTGGGGTGTCACAAAAAACTCGGCATATCTGGGAAAACTTCGTAAAGGGGTCAAAACTGACCAGTTGTATTTCCCTATATAATCTTTGTATTTTATGGGAAAAACAGAGGGTCATTTCAACGCAGACTTTAGGATACTAAAGCTCAGTATATCTGGCTAATTTTTTTGCATGCTCCTAGGTCAATGGCTTGACCTGTAGGGAAAACTGTCGGTTACACTCAAAGCCCTCGACGAGGGCTAAAAAGTGACTGCAAGTGAAATTCTCTTTATATGAGCTCTATTACGAAAAAAAATTTCCTCCGACGACCCCCCTTGATATTTTGTAAGGTGGTAGAAGAACACCTAGGGGTGTCACAAAAAACTCGGCATATCTGGGAAAACTTCGTAAAGCGGTCAAAACTGACCAGTTGTATTTCCCTATATAATCTTTGTATTTTATGGGAAAAACAGAGGGTCATTTCAACGCAGACTTTAGGATACTTAAGCTCAGTATATCTGGCTAATTTTTTGCATGCTCCTAGGTCAATGGCTTGACCTTTAGGGAAAACTGTCGGTTACACTCAAAGCCCTCGACGAGGGCTAAAAAGTGACCGCGAGTGAAATTCTCTTTATATGAGCTCTATTACGAAAAAAAAATTCCTCCGACGACCCCCCTTGATATTTTGTGAGGTGGTAGGAGAACGCCTTGGGGTGTCACAAAAAACTCGGCATATCTGGGAAAACTTCGTAAAGGGGTCAAAACTGACCAGTCGTATTTCCCTATATAATCTTTGTATTTTATGGGAAAAACAGAGGGTCATTTCAACGCAGACTTTAGGGTACTTAAGCTCAGTATATCTGGCTAATTTTTTGCATGCTCCTAGGTCAATGGCTTGACCTGTAGGGAAAACTGTCGGTTACACTCAAAGCCCTCGACGAGGGCTAAAAAGTGACTGCAAGTGAAATTCTCTTTATATGAGCTCTATTACGAAAAAAAATTTCCTCCGACGACCCCCCTTGATATTTTGTAAGGTGGTAGAAGAACACCTAGGGGTGTCACAAAAAACTCGGCATATCTGGGAAAACTTCGTAAAGCGGTCAAAACTGACCAGTTGTATTTCCCTATATAATCTTTGTATTTTATGGGAAAAACAGAGGGTCATTTCAACGCAGACTTTAGGATACTTAAGCTCAGTATATCTGGCTAATTTTTTGCATGCTCCTAGGTCAATGGCTTGACCTTTAGGGAAAACTGTCGGTTACACTCAAAGCCCTCGACGAGGGCTAAAAAGTGACCGCGAGTGAAATTCTCTTTATATGAGCTCTATTACGAAAAAAAAATTCCTCCGACGACCCCCCTTGATATTTTGTGAGGTGGTAGGAGAACGCCTTGGGGTGTCACAAAAAACTCGGCATATCTGGGAAAACTTCGTAAAGGGGTCAAAACTGACCAGTCGTATTTCCCTATATAATCTTTGTATTTTATGGGAAAAACAGAGGGTCATTTCAACGCAGACTTTAGGGTACTTAAGCTCAGTATATCTGGCTAATTTTTTGCATGCTCCTAGGTCAATGGCTTGACCTTTAGGGAAAACTGTCGGTTACACGCAAAGCCCTCGACGAGGGCTAAAAAGTGACCGCGAGTGAAATTCTCCTTATTTGAGCTCTATTACGAAAAAAAATTTCCTCCGACGACCCCCCTTGATATTTTGTGAGGTGGTAGAAGAACACCTAGGGGTGTCACAAAAAACTCGGCATATCTGGGAAAACTTCGTAAAGCGGTCAAAACTGACCAGTTGTATTTCCCTATATAATCTTTGTATTTTATGGGAAAAACAGAGGGTCATTTCAACGCAGACTTTAGGGTACTTAAACTCAGTATATCTGGCTAATTTTTTGCATACACTACTATAGATGACTAGGCCGTATGGAAAAACTGTTGGTCAGACTCAAAGCCCTCGACGAGGGCTAAAAGATGATCTTGAGTGAAATTCTCCTTATATGAGATATATATATAAATAAATTGACGAACGATCCCCTTAATATTATGTGACGTCGTAGACCGACCCTGGAGGCTAACAAAAAAACTTTAATCCCGTCGGAAACAGCCATTATAGTTGTTAAATATATTCATATACCGTAATTTCTTATATAAGCATAGCAACTGTTTGTAAAAAAAAAAACAAAGACATACGTCATACGTTCAGTTTTCAAGGGAGGTAACGTTTTTTAAATTATTATTTTTCAAATAATTGTATACTATTTTAAACAGAAACAGAAAATGACGAAGTATAGCATTTGTTTTAGTACAAAATTAAGTTGTTAATTTAGTTACGTATCTTAATTAAATAAATAAATAAATTTCAAAAGGCAATGTAATAAAAACTATGAGATGTACTGTTCATGGAAGCTGTGTAGTTCTAATTCCATTTTACTTATACATTGCGTACTTTCCGATATTTCTCTGAGAACGGTATTTAAATGACAAACTAAAACATTTTTTTTCTAAAGTTAGCATTACTGTTTAAATTAAAGCACTCAACACCAAATCCATCGCTAAATAATTAAGTGTTCAAATTCTCAAATGTTATTTAAAAACCTAAGCAAAGCTAGGCAGTATGCCTAGTCTAATATATAAAGCTCAAATGGGCTCTGTGGCTCTGTATGGATGTGGAAGACATGCATATAGTAAAAAAACTCTCCGTTGTGTAATATTTTAAAGTGTTGGTTTTTGTACTAAAATCTAAATTGATGTTTAAAAACTCAATATTGATCATTTTCAAAGTACATTTTCATTTTACAACTTATCATTTTTATAGACGTAATGCGGAAACAACAAAATTAAACTAAATTTATTACCCTTTACAAAAATTCTATTTTGTAATCCAAATACGCCCCTTTGTACAAATTATCAACCATAAAAAAATCGGCGTACCCCCGGGACGTAAGAACCACTGAATTAGATTATCTGTCAGGTGTGTCGTATTGAAAATTGACACTATTTCTGGAATTTTGCTTGTTGTAATTTTTGTATGCACTATTTGATTATATACACTTTTCTTTCAAGTAATAATGTACCACCATGTTTTACCTACATAAAAACTACAAAACCTAACCGACATACATGGCCTTCATAGATACATACAGTCACACATGATGGGATTTTGATATGAAATTAACCTCATGACTCATGCTAGACAAAATTAATATAATTACACATTTTTTTACAGAGGCCATACCACGGACACCCCTTCATTCTCCTAACCTTGACCCAAATTGCGCTTGTGGCTGCAAGAAAAGGGAAGTACAAGGTCAAATTATCGGCACTGGTCGTTGCCATGGCAGCTCCATATGGACGCTGGAGGCTGCGACTGGGCAGGTGATTGTCTTGGAATTTGATTACTTCAGTCTAAATCTGACACTGCAATGGGTCAAGGTACGAGACGGAGCCACGGACTCCGATACCCTACTCTTCTCATCCGCTAGCTCCGCCTACCCTGTTGAGATCACAAGTTCCGGTCCGTCAATGAGGGTTGAGCTAATGACCAACTACACAAGTATGTCTACTGTAGCCACCTTCTCAAAGAACGCTACATTACCAATACACGCTCATGGATTCATCGCTCACTATCAAGTTAGAGGTAGTTCATGTCTCCACATTAGTTTTGTTTTATATAGCTAAAGGTAGTTCATGTCTCCATATTAGTTTTGTTTTATATAGCTAAAGGTAGTTCATGTCTCCACATTTGTTTTGTTTTATATAGCTAAAGGTAGTTCATGTCTCCACATTCGTTTTGTTTTATATAGCTAAAGGTAGTTCATGTCTCCACATTAGTTTTGTTTTATATAGCTAAAGGTAGTTCATGTCTCCACATTCGTTTTGTTTTATAGTAATCTTGTTCTTTTCTGCAAAACTTCTTGTAACAGCAGTAGCTGCGAGTAGTACAGCACGAGTTTTGTACCAGCACCAGCAGGAGACTATGATGGGGAGTCTGATAACTCTGGTAGGTATCGCCGTTTGTGGGCTCGTCATCATCGCTGCTATTATCTTTGTTCTTGTTCAACGAACGCTGCTCAAGCGACCGGTCAAGTACAGCATGACCACATCAACAGACAGCCCTCTCCGCCCTGATAGCTCTCAACAGCAAGACTCCAGCGGCGTGAGCAACAGCAGTCCAGGGAAGGTGGTCCACGTTGACCAGTCGATCCCGCTGACCAAGGCTAATAACCCGTCTCGAGGAAATGGCCGGTCGTCTGCAGCGTCGAGTGCATCAAGTCGAAAGTGCAAGTCGAGCCCTACAGCCAGAGATACTTTGATTAGTGCGTACGGCATCGAGATAGTTGACACGGACCTGTTAGATGGTGTAAGTCCACTGAGAAAACAGTCCTTACATTCAACCATTGCCCGCCTATCTCCCGGTTCACCAATAACTAAACTAGACATGCTGAACAAGAAAAGAAATGGCAAAAAAGGTAAAGGTGTCAGCACCAACCTTGAGGTCACACGAGAGGTCACGGGATCATCGGGCTCCCAGCACTCCGCCTCTACAACAAAAGCCGAGGTCAGCTGGCCCCAAGGGTTAGGGTTAGGGCTCCAAGGGTTAGGGCTCCAAGCTAGCCTCATGAGCCACCCAGTCAAACCAGACAAAAGTAGCTTCATAAACCACCCAGTGAAAGCCGACAAAAGCAATAAACGATCCGCCCCGCGGCCTCCATCAGAGGAGATTCCTCTTCTAGACTCCATGACCTCAAGTCTTGAGTCTCCCTCTCACTTTCACAACATGGTAAAAAGTGATTCAACAGAATCAGCGACAACGTCTTTCATGCACCCAAAGCCCGCCCGCAGGCCGACATCACTAACTAATTGTTATTCAAATGACACTCTGAAAAAATCAAACACAAAACAACTTTCTTTAACACCTACAAGCGACGCAGCTGAGATTTCTGTGACTGACTTAACACCCAAACCTGTGCAATACACCACACGCGACGATCCTCAAACTTTGGAGCAACAGACCTTCACAGCCCCACCTCCACCCTTAGTATTACCTCAGCTTTCATCTAAACGAAGGAGACCAGTTAGGTCATCACCATCGCAACATTCATTGGCAAGCAATAAAAGTGCTAACAACAATTGTGCCAATAACAACAGTGCCAACACTAATAGTGTAAACAATAAAGCCAAGAGATCAGCTTTCGAGGAAAGACAAAGCCTTCTACCCAAGCCAGACGGTCAAAGCCCTAAGCTTGAAAGACGCGACACACCCTTGATAGCAGTGACAAAAGCAGACAGTAACAGAGAGCTTTCCAGCCCAGGTAAAGCCAGTAAAACGAGCAGCAAAAATATCTCTTCGCCTACTCGAAGTATAACTACGCCATCGGAGATCGATGGCCTTGAACTTGAGTATGACGATTTTATCGAAGACGATCCTCTCTCTTATTTCGATTATGAGCAGACTCAGAAACTTGCTTTCAGGGGCGTAGAAAAGATCGGCAAGACACCAGTAGAGGAGGAAGATGAGGATGAAGTTTAAAAAAGGTTTAATCCTATTCGTTTTCTTTAGTTGTTTTTGACAAGCCCTAGCACCCTTACCATCTCAGTTGTTTTGTTTTGACTCTGCTTAGTTTAATCTCAAATGGAACATACACATTGTCGATCTTTTCATCAAATTCTCCATTTGTAAGGTGATCTTTGTAATATATATATGTGTATATTATATATGTAATATATATGTATACATATATATATATATATATATATATATATATATATATATATATATATATATATACATACACACAGATACTATATTTTTCTATTTTTATATATATATATGTATGTATACATATATATATATATATATATATATATATATATATATATATATATATATATATATATATATATATATATATATAAATATAAATAAAAATATAAATATATATATATATAAAAATTGAACCCCCTTGAAGGTAACACAACCTTTAACAGTAAATACACCTGACTCGTGGTATGTGATGAAGTTAGATCTTTCACTTTGCAAAGCTCTAATGCCAAGTTGAACATGAAAGACAAGCTCATGTTAGCAGGTCCGTTTAACCACTAAAAATAGCGTCTCTTAGTAGGAGCTTTTATAATTGTAGAAACACTTCAAAATCAGACCATTAGGCCATCCTCACTTAAACAGACCATTAGGCCATCCTCACTTAAACATCAGACCATTAGGCCATCCTCACTTAAACAGACCATTAGGCCATCCTCACTTAAACATCAGACCATTTGGCCATCCTTACTTAAACATCAGACCATTTGGCCATCCTCACTTAAACATCAGACCATTAGGCCATCCTCACTTAAACATCAGAATATTAGGCCATCCTCACTTAAACATCAGATCATTAGGCCATCCTCACTTAAACATCAGACCATTAGGCCATCCTCACTTAAATATCAGACCATTAGGCCATCCTCAAACATCATACCATTTGGCCATCCTCACTTAAACAGAACATTAGGCCATCCTCACTTAAACATCAGACCATTAGGCCATCCTCAAACATCAGACCATTAGGCCATCCTCACTTAAATATCAGACCATTAGGCCATCCTCACTTAAACATCAGACCATTAGGCCATCCTCAAACATCAGACCATTAGGCCATCCTCAAACATCAGACCATTAGGCCATCCGCAAACATCAGACCATTAGGCCATCCTCAAACATCAGACCATTAGGCCATCCTCACTTAAACATCAGACCATTAGGCCATCCTCAAACATCAGACCATTAGGCCATCCTCACTTAAACATCAGACCATTAGGCCATCCTCACTTAAACATCAGAACATTAGGCCATCCTCACTTAAACATCAGATCATTAGGCCATCCTCACTTAAACATCAGACCATTAGGCCATCCTCAAACATCAGACCATTAGGCCATCCTCAAACATCAGACCATTAGGCCATCCTCACTTAAACAGAACATTAGGCCATCCTCACTTAAACAGAACATTAGGCCATCCTCACTTAAACATCAGAACATTAGGCCATCCTCAAACATCAGACCATTTGGCCATCCTCACTTAAACATCAGACCATTAGGCCATCCTCAAACATCAGACCATTAGGCCATCCTCACTTAAACATCAGACCATTAGGCCATCCTCACTTAAACATCAGACCATTAGGCCATCCTCAAACATCAGACCATTAGGCCATCCTCACTTAAACACCAGACCATTAGGCCATCCTTACTTAAACATCAGACCATTAGGCCATCCTCACTTAAACATCAGACCATTAGGCCATCCTCAAACATCAGACCATTGGCCATCCTCACTTAAACATCAGACCATTAGGCCATCCTCAAACATCAGACCATTAGGCCATCCTCACTTAAACATCAGACCATTAGGCCATCCTCAAACATCAGACCATTAGGCCATCCTCACTTAAACATCAGACCATTAGGCCATCCTTACTTAAACATCAGACCATTAGGCCATCCTCAAACATCAGACCATTAGGCCATCCTCAAACATCAGACCATTAGGCCATCCTCACTTAAACATCAGACCATTAGGCCATCCTCAAACATCAGACCATTAGGCCATCCTCACTTAAACATCAGACCATTAGGCCATCCTCAAACATCAGACCATTAGGCCATCCTCACTTAAACACCAGACCATTAGGCCATCCTTACTTAAACATCAGACCATTAGGCCATCCTCACTTAAACATCAGACCATTAGGCCATCCTCAAACATCAGACCATTAGGCCATCCTCACTTAAACATCAGACCATTAGGCCATCCTCAAACATCAGACCATTAGGCCATCCTCACTTAAACATCAGACCATTAGGCCATCCTCACTTAAACAGAACATTAGGCCATCCTCACTTAAACAGACCATTAGGCCATCCTCACGTAAACATCAGAACATTAGGCCATCCTCACTTAAACATCAGACCATTAGGCCATCCTCAAACATCAGACCATTAGGCCATCCTCACTTAAACATCAGACCATTAGGCCATCCTCACTTAAACATCAGACCATTAGGCCATCCTCAAACATCAGACCATTAGGCCATCCTCACTTAAACATCAGACCATTAGGCCATCCTCAAACATCAGACCATTAGGCCATCCTCACTTAAACATCAGACCATTAGGCCATCCTCACTTAAACATCAGACCATTTGGCCATCCTCAAACATCAGACCATTAGGCCATCCTCACTTAAACAGAACATTAGGCCATCCTCACTTAAACATCAGACCATTAGGCCATCCTCAAACACCAGACCATTAGGCCATCCTCACTTAAACATCAGACCATTAGGCCATCCTCACTTAAACATCAGAACATTAGGCCATCCTCAAACATCAGACCATTAGGCCATCCTCACTTAAACATCAGACCATTAGGCCATTCTCACTTAAACATCAGACCATTAGGCCATCCTCACTTGAACATCAGACCATTAGGCCATCCTCACTTAAACATCAGACCATTAGGCCATCCTCACTTAAACATCAGACCATTAGGCCATCCTCACTTAAACATCAGACCATTAGGCCATCCTCACTTAAACATCAGACCATTAGGCCATCCTCACTTAAACAGCAGACCATTAGGCCATCCTCAAACATCAGACCATTAGGCCATCCTCACTTAAACAGAACATTAGGCCATCCTCACTTAAACATCAGACCATTAGGCCATCCTCACTTAAACAGACCATTAGGCCATCCTCACTTAAACATCAGACCATTAGGCCATCCTCACTTAAACATCAGAACATTAAGCCATCCTCACTTAAACATCAGAACATTAGGCCATCCTCACTTAAACAGAACATTAGGCCATCCTCACTTAAACATCAGACCATTAGGCCATCCTCACTTAAACAGACCATTAGGCCATCCTCACTTAAACAGAACATTAGGCCATCCTCACTTAAACAGAACATTAGGCCATCCTCACTTAAACATCAGACCATTTGGCCATCCTCACTTAAACAGAACATTAGGCCATCCTCACTTAAACATCAGACCATTAGGCCATCCTCACTTAAACAGACCATTAGGCCATCCTCACTTAAACAGAACATTAGGCCATCCTCACTTAAACAGAACATTAGGCCATCCTCAGTTAAACATCAGACCATTAGGCCATCCTCACTTAAACAGAACATTAGGCCATCCTCACTTAAACAGAACATTAGGCCATCCTCAAACATCAGAACATTAGGCCATCCTCACTTAAACATCAGAACATTAGGCCATCCTCACTTAAACAGAACATTAGGCCATCCTCACTTAAACATGAGAACATTAGGCCATCCTCACTTAAACATCAGAACATTAGGCCATCCTTACTTAAACATCAGACCATTTGGCCATCCTCACTTAAACAGACCATTAGGCCATCCTCACTTAAACATCAGAACATTAGGCCATCCTCACTTAAACAGAACATTAGGCCATCCTCAAACACCAGACCATTAGGCCATCCTCACTTAAACATCAGACCATTAGGCCATCCTCACTTAAACAGAACATTAGGCCATCCTCACTTAAACAGAACATTAGGCCATCCTCACTTAAACATCAGACCATTAGGCCATCCTCACTTAAACATCAGACCATTAGGCCATCCTCAAACATCAGACCATTAGGCCATCCTCACTTAAACAGAACATTAGGCCATCCTCACTTAAACATCAGACCATTAGGCCATCCTCAAACATCAGACCATTAGGCCATCCTCACTTAAACAGAACATTAGGCCATCCTCACTTAAACAGAACATTAGGCCATCCTCACTTAAACATCAGACCATTAGGCCATCCTCACTTAAACATCAGAACATTAGGCCATCCTCACTTAAACATCAGATCATTAGGCCATCCTCACTTAAACATCAGAACATTAGGCCATCCTCACTTAAACATCAGATCATTAGGCCATCCTCACTTAAACATCAGAACATTAGGCCATCCTCACTTAAACAGACCATTAGGCCATCCTCAAACATCAGACCATTAGGCCATCCTCACTTAAACATCAGACCATTAGGCCATCCTCACTTAAACATCAGACCATTAGGCCATCCTCACTTAAACACCAGACCATTAGGCCATTCTCACTTAAACATCAGAACATTAGGCCATCCTCAAACATCAGACCATTAGGCCATCCTCACTTAAACATCAGACCATTTAATCCATCCTCACTTAAACATCAGACCATTAGGCCATCCTCACTTAAACAGAACATTAGGCCATCCTCACATAGACATGAGACTCAAGGGCCATTTTGAAACAATAGTCGCATTCGACATCTTCATCTAAACATCAGCCACATAGGACATCTTTACTAAAACAACAGGCCTATATGTAATGTTCACACATCAGGCCCATAGGTCTATCTAAAATCAGCCCAATAAGCCGTATGCACATATAACTCATAGGTCTCTTTCAACCATGTCTCATCGGCCATCTTCACTCATAAGCTCCCATGTGCCAACTACATCAAATCCCCCCTCGGCCATTTAACACCATTTTGATCTCAAAAGATTCCAATTCTTGTTATACTGTCCAATAAAATATTTTATTTTGTATACAATTTTTAAAGTGTACTTAAATCTTTTGTAAAAAAAAATATTGCAATGATGTAAATATGCCTTAAAAATCTTCTTGAATTGCAATGCATTTTGTATATAACGTTT